AATTCTATTCAATCGGTAGACTCATAACGATTGAAAACAATGTTTTTGTTTGAGTTTGACCAATTCGTAAAAAAAAAAACTAATTAAGACATGCGTGTCCGTCAACCTTAAACAATAATCTTTGTCAATTTTATTTTTCAGTCTTTATGATGGTCGATACTTGATCTATCTCTTACTGTTACATTCCCGGGCAACGCCGGGCTCTACTGCTAGTAATGTATATAAACGATTAACAACTACAACGGCTATAAAAAAAACAAAAAAAACACTTATGACTATGCACTGTTCGGCGAAACAAGATTCAATGCATGAGCATTACATAGTCTATTCATTCATTTCAAGTAATCATAACTGAACACCTTCTGCCGAAATATTTCGGATAAAAATCACCTTGGATAATTTGCTCAATGAATACTAGAAAGCACATTATTAACATAAATTAATTTAAAACAAAACAAAAAAAACTTCAGAACTCTTTAAAAATCATCCTCAATAAAATACGAACAAAGGGGATTTTGTCCTACATTGCACATTAAACCTAAGTGTTTTGTATAGGAAAAGTTTAAATTTAACAAATAACAACACATTTTATATAAGAATATGAAACAAAGTTACAAGGTGTTGAAGATGCTTTAAATTCTTTTTAATCATTTCACCACAAGTAAGGCAATAAAGTCACTAAGACACAAGGTGTTACTGAGAGTGAAAGAATAAGAAAAAGAAAATATTATTAAGTATAAAGAACAATAAAAGAAGAATCAAGGAGACAGTAAATAACGAAATAATGAAAGTTTTTTTTAATGTTCGTAGAGGGAGTTTAAATAAATGCTTCTCTGAAAGACGTTATAACAAAAAGTTCGGTGCTTCTCCAAAATACTCTCCAATGAAAATGTTAAAGAATAACAAATAACATAATTTTCTATCAACAAAAGTTTGATGGATGGCCGTACAACAAAAAAATTATTCTGATTTTTAAAATCCTCAAAAAAGTAATCTGTACAGAAATTTTATTCGAAGAAAATTAGTTCATTGAAGGATTACTCAACTGATATCTAAAGAAAAATATGCTTTTACCTTAAATAGAAAAAAAAATGTATTTATTCAGAGGTAGATCGACTTTACCGCAATACAAGCAAAAAATCATGGGACTGTTATTCTGGAAAAGTGACGAAATTCTTTTGTAAAATATGAAAGAAAAAAAAAAAGAGTTATTTTACATGTTATACAAAATTGCTTACTTGTAATGAAAATGTTCTGTATCTTAATGAGTGACTATTTGGAATGAGTAGTCGCAAGAATGAATTTCTTGTGGGAAGCTGTAGATCTTGAAGCGTGTCGTTGGTCGTTTTGCGTTGCGTTGGGCAACTGAAGAAATTTTCTGTCGTCTCTATTCATTGTCTCAGAACTGCCTACAGAGAGTTTTTTTATTTATTACTTTATTGTTATTTAGGCGTTTTCAGTTATTCTGTTTTTAGCATTGATTAAAAAACGTCAGGTTTTGTGTTTGAAAATACGACAGTATTAAATAGTCGTATATTATTTACATTCTAGTTTAAATAATCGTATATTATTTAATTCTAGTTTAAACAAACAACTAGATAAAAATCTATTCATTTATAAATATGTATTAACTGACCTTAAATAACAATAAATCATTACATTATTTAGTGTTTTTAACAAAATATATATTTGTAAACACATACCCAATGTATATAGGTCTGCCTATCGCCCGGTTCACACTCCTTCCCCGTCTTTTGAACATGAGTTTATCCCTTGCTTCCTGTTTAGAATTCGGTTTCTGGTTGCTTCTTCTAACTAAATTTTTCTCACTTTCTTTCACTTCCATTAACCCCCTTGCGTCTTAGTGGAATTATTGCCTTGCTTGGGGTGAAATGATTAAAAAAATTATTATAATTAATAATCGACAATATAATGTAGGTAGAAAAAAAATAAATGATGCTTAATGTGGTTGAAGCCCCAATAACGCTGCTAAAGTCGTCACTTTTGCCCCCTTCATGTCGATGGATTCGTGGGTAGTTAGCACCTGTCTTGCCTACCAGATATTTATGCCTTTAAGGAATTAGTTACAATTCAATGAACGCCAACGGACATTTCTTCTTCATTTACTATTTTCATCATTGTCCTTTTTATGGAGACAGATAATTCAACTTTTTATATATATATATATATATATATATATATATATATATATATATATATATGTTTTATACTCACCTTCATTACCACCTATGTGAACACGTGTGTGTCACTTAGCTTCAAGCGTTCTCAGCACTAACAACCTAAATTTTTCTATCCATAGAGAAAATTTTAAAGATTGATGATTAAACAAACAATTTTACCATTTTTAGCCGAAATTTTATTTTACTTTCATTCTGTCTGCGCGTTGTGTGCGCTGAAAATCAAGACAAAAAGGACTATCAATAGTAGTAGTCAGTCACTAGGACTAAATACCTGATTTTCCTCATGCTATAATTTAATTTTAATTTGTAGAAAACAATAGAGAAAACAGTGATGGTTTTGAATTGTTAAACTTAATTTGCTATAGAAAATTGACAAAGGGCGAATCTTGCCCGAAGGTTCTTGAATTAAATAAATATTTCTAAAATAAAATATTCTTTGTAAATAAAAGAAGAAAGTGTACAATCACATTTCTTCATCCGTATTAGCAAAAAAAAAAAAAAAGTTCCTCAAGAAATCACTCCCAAATTTAATTCTTCTTTTCTTTTTACAAATTTTTCCCAATTCATTTTGCTGTCGACTTCCAATCAAACAGTTAAACGTTTTTATTTTTATATTTGTCGAAGATAATTAGTCACGTCACCAAGTTATTAAAAGTGAGTTCGATCCTCACTGAGTTCCCTATATGCTGTGACCTAGTGAACGTAAGCTATGCTCAGTAAATAAGATTATTGTTATTTTTAGACTTTAAAACATTCAGTATTACTTTTAAGGACAAAAAAGGCTTTTTAAAAAATTATTGCACATTTATTGCACACCATTTCTTTCATCATTTCGCTAAGACAAGAATAAGTTTCAAGATGTTTCTTCTAGAGGAAAATTCTAGAAACTGACAGAATGACATTTTGGTGTTAATTACCCAGAAAAATTTTAAATTAATCGAATGAAAAGATTAATCCAGTAATTGATATGATCGGTCAATGAGTCCACGATTCGAATCTGAAATCAGAATTTTTTTCGTCGTTTATTCCTGTCAGCAAAAATCCCTAAATTAAAAAAAACTAATAATGATAATTATTATCCATTTAAGTAGCGAGCGATAAGTTTTTTACTGTACATACAGTCTAAAAAAAATTTTTTCCACATTTTCTTGTCGCTTTCTTCGTCTCCCAAAAGGCAGGTTTATGTCGTTGTTAAGCAACAAGTTGTTATTTTCACTCGAGGAAAAGCCCCCTAGATGCTTTTCAAAGCCATTTTTTATTTGTATGTGCGTGTGTGAAGAGCAATAATTCGTTTTCAAATAAACAATTTCTACCACGAATAACAAATTTAATGTTAAAGATTACTTTCTCTAAATCAGTGCTGACTTAGTTATTTAATTTTTTTGTTGTTTAAAAGTAAAACTAAAAAAAGTCATAAAATTAAAAACCACCTTAGAGTTGGATCATTTTTTTTGTCTATAAAATTTGAAAGATTAAAAAAATTAAAAAAAAAGGTTATTTTAAAATAAAACCTGAATCAATATACCATGGATAAAAATAAAAGAAATTAATCATGCCAACTATTGGTTAGGTTACACAATCATAAAGTGCGAAATAAAATCTAATTCCAGCACTAGTCCAAATTTTGAGTACCTTACTGATTATTACGGTGTAGTAGCGTATCATTAGCACACCATTGTCATAAACGTAAAAATGATGTAAGTAAAAGATTGGTAATGTATTTCAGCTAGTGTGAATATTTCATTAACTTGAATTTCATGTTGCCTTGTATCAATGTTACGTACACCAATATTATCCCATCGTCAGTGTTAATATTACTACAACTGCTGCTGTTTTAAACGGCCTCCCCCCATTCATTAAATTTTCTTTTTCCTCTTACAACTCGCACTCTCTAACATTTTATATTCTCTCTCCTATTGCAAACCACTCACCCATCCTTCTATAAATATCTATCTTCCTCCTCCTCTTGAGACCATCTGTATCTACTTGAGTTAACATGTAAGAATGACATATACCTATGTAGATATTTCATCTTGTAATTAAAATTGTTTCCTTATTTCGTATAACTTTTTAAAAATCTAATTTATTAGATATTAGAAAACCCCAATTTTATCAGTTCTTAGTAATTAGTTATGAAATGAATGATTTATTAAATAAAATTTATTTCTCTCTTTACTAATAGATTTTCGAAAGAAATTAAGAAAAATCGAAGACCACTTGAAGTCAATGTTGAGTTCAAATTGACCTGAAGCTGAAATTAAAAAGAGCAAAGAAACGTCCACTTCTTAAAGAAATTAAAAAAAAAGCGTATGTGTCCATTCCATAATGTAGATAAACGTTTGTATGCGTATATGCAAGTATAAATACCCACACATATGTGTTTTAGTGGGTCTATGTATACACGTAACCATAGGTATGCATGAATTTAAAGCAAGTACGCGCGTGTGTGAGTAGCTTTTTCTTTTTCTCCCCATCTCCCATACTTTCTTTGGTTCCCCTCCCTCCCTTTGTGCGACTCTGGGAAAAATCAAGCTGACCTAGATTCACACTGCGACGAGAACTGGCGAGACTTGCAAGCCGATCTGTTCAGTTCCCAGTTTAGCATTGCGACGAGAATTGACGAGAGTTTGAGAGCCGAAGCCGTGTCAATCGTGTAGGAATACATTGTGGGCTGCCGCCGTCGTCGTCAGAGCTAGGAACTACTTTTTTTGTCCAGTCGAGCAAGCCGGAGTAGGAAATTTTCTAAACCGTTGTCACTCCAATCGCTCGTAATCGTCGTTGTTCCTTTAATCATCAGCAATGGCCGACCGAGATGAAATGGTATACAAGGCTAAACTGGCTGAACAAGCCGAGAGATATGACGGTATTTTATATTTTTCAACTTAATATTTTTGATGGCGTATAGACTCGCTGGCTGTCCTCCCTCGCTCTGTAATACTATATATCGCTCACTCCCACCCTTCACTGCTGATATCTCAGCCAAAAACCCTTTTTTTTAATGAGCATGTTTGATTGTAAATACTTTAAATACCTTACTTCATTGTCGTTTCTAAGACTGTTTCCTTGGTTTTATACTTCATTTTTTTTCTTCACGCTTTTGTTTGAATATTTAAAAATGTTATTTTGTATCGTCACTTGAAATAAGGCGTCTGTCAGTTATCGAGTGATAAAATGGCAGAAGAATCTGGTATTCTGTTAAATAAAATCCATTCTCTTGATCTAAATCTCCTCTTATAAATAGCCTAATTATCGATGTCTGTATAGATTAACCCCCTGAACTAAACGTCTATAACATTTTAATCGTCAAACTCCCGTTATAAACTCTCTCGGTCATTTACAAAAAACGACTTTAAATTCAAAGACGACAGCCAACGCTTTTGGCAAAAGCAGCAGTCGCCATGTTGAATTCAACCATGACTCATAAAACTCAATTTTCTTCTCGTTCTTTTATTTTGATTCATTTTCATCCCTATCATTAGGAAAAAAATCAGTCAATTTTTTTTAACGTTGGTTAGTCTCTTCCTCCTTTAGCCTGGCTCATTTAACTAAGACGGCCATGTGTAGTTTGAAACACTTAAAGTAACCGCCTACTTAGGAAGCCAGGAAAATAATTTCAGTTTGAATAAATGTGGTGATTTAACGGCTAAAATATTCCTAAATGGTCTAAAAATCGGGGATTGATTTTTCTTAACTACTATAACAGATCTTGTTCATGATGTCCTATTGTCGGTTTAATTTGATTTTAAAAAATGTAAATGGTAGTTATTTTTAACTTTTAAAAACTTTGTTTCCTTATACATTACCAAGAAAGGTCTTAATTTACATTAAAATCATTTTAATAATTTATAACGTTTTCCTTCCGAATTTAATTTTAAATTCGAAATAGATTTTAGTATTTTAAAATGATTGTCTATAGATGAGCCATGTTCTTTTTTTTAATGTATCTCTTGAAATTGTGGGAAAAATATTTGAAAATATGTCTACATTTCAGTTAAGGAATTTTAGTGATATGAATATTTGGAATTTGTTCATAAAATGTATTTACATAAAGCACTCCCACTTGTAGATTTATCTGGAATTTCATCAAGTAATATTGTAGCTTTATTAATGTTTTAACGACTTCAACAATTTGAAGTTCAAAAGTCAAATTCAATACCTAGAAAAATTGAACGCTTTTTCCAACTGTAAAATAAAAAAAATTGAAAAATGTCTTTCAGTCTGGACTGAACTGATTCTCTTTAGGCCTTTGCTCTTGTCTTATCTCATCCTATATTTGTCAATTTCAAACTAATTTACGCTGTAACAAATTATAGACAAAATGATATCACCCCAGCTATTATTTTATTCAAAGTAATACAATGTCCAACATATATGAAATTCCTTGCCATTTTAATTTTCACCCGTTCTATTTTTTTTTTTTAAAAAAAAAAAAAAAAATTGGAAAATACTCTTATAAATTCATTTGAATATTATCTCCCAGCTTCTTATGAATAATAATATTCTTAACCTGTTGAAATATCTTAAGACGTCAGCTACATTTCGATTATACTAAAATTTCTTAATAATACAAGTTAAGTAGTTGTATTACTTTGCCCACTAGTGACGACCAGTGATACAAACTACATACCTTTTTTTTTTTTTTTTTTTTTTCCCCAACCGTCTTATTTGGTATTTTATACTAAACTAATTACGTGTTATTTTGAAACAGTGTGTACTGAATTCCTTTGAGAAAAGAATTAAAATTCCTGTCAGATTATTTGCTTATGTCTTTAGAGTACCACATAAGGATTTCTTTAATTTTTACTGTTAAAATTATACTTTAAACAAATCATTAATTTACTTTTCCTTAGTAATTATAAATTAATACTAATATTCATTTGTGTTAAGACTTTATATGTCTAACAATGCGTTTCTTTTTAAAGAGGCGAAAAATATCAGTTGTCGAAATGAGTTTTGTCTTTAGGCTCCTAAAAAACAAAAAAAAAAAAAAATAGAACATTGATCTTTTTTCTTATGTTTGAGATCTACAGTTACTTGTAATACTGTAACGGTGGTAGCAATATCATCGTCACCACTTATCCCGGTTTCGCTCTCCTTTTTGTTCTTTATTTTCTCTTGTTTTCTTTTCCTTATTGGTGTCCCCCGCCTGTTTAATGTATGCAACGTTGAGCGATAAGTGTGTAGTATGATGATGATTGTATTTTAACAGAAATCTATTCTCTTCATTCATCGCCATTTCTATCATCACCACAAACACTGCATTTATTCTTTAAGGGACAACGTAGAGTAAAATATTATGGAAGAGACCTATAGGCTGTCTGTTTTAATATGAATTTTTGTCATTAGCTGTTAAACTTCATTAACAAATTTTTTTTCATTTTTATGCGGTACTCAGCAATCTCTAATAATACATTGGTTTATTGTAATGACTGGAGAGAGTTTAACACTTGGGAAGCTAAAACGGGACCTGCCTCGTCATCCGATTGACACTTATATTTTAATTCATCTGGCAACGACCGTAACTCTACAGTTATTAAAATTGTAATTTGTAGTTCTGTTTTCTTAGATTTTGGTGGAGAAGCTTCTATGTAATTGTTTTTGGCGTTAACTTGTTTGCTCGTTCACCCAGGTACCAATCCTTAACGTAACCACATTAGATTCCGTTTTTATAACGTTATTCTCAAAAGGAATGAACAGCTATTGCTTTTTCGTTCATGTCCGAAGTCATTTTTGTTAAACCCCCACTTCTATCTCTTCGTATTTGCATTATTTAATGTAATGCATCATCCTATAAATTCAAATAAAAACGTCATATATTCCAACTCTTTTCAGTTTGTTTTCTGTTATGCATTATGAATTGGTAAATTGTTGATTTGAAAGTGACTCTTACTACTACTATTCATAGACAGCCCTATAGTAGCAGTAGTTAAAGCTGTTCTCACAACTCGTGACACCAGTATTCATGTCACACATACATTACAGCAGCAGCAATTACTGCAACTCGTCTTAAGATATGAGCTTAAATATATTCAACAATTTTACCATTTTAGTCATTTTTTTTTATTTCATTTACTAATAAAGTTCCAAATTATCATAATTTGGACAAACTTAATATTTTACGTAAGCAGAATCAAAAGAACGTGGTTGTTTCATTACCATTTTTTCTGTCTTCTCCAATGGCACTTATTTTTAAATAGCTCTAAATTTTACTTATAATTTAATGCAAAATATTGCAAAACTTGAGTTTTTTTTTTTTTTAAGTCATTTTTAATCTTCATTTGGGAATTATGAAATTGTTTTTGCAAAAGATATATATATATATATATATATATATATATAAAATTTCATTTGAGCCTACAAAATGTTTTTGTATTATCATAAATACGAAATTACCTCCCTTTTTTTTTCTTTTTACATAACCCCGTATTACAAGCATACTTTATTTCTGAATAAGTAGAATTCACTTTGTGACTAAGGGTTTGTAAATTTTACCTAGCGTCATATTTGAGCAGTCTTTGTATAACACTGACATGATTCAATTTCTGCAGCAAAAAAAAAAAACGCCTGCAATGCAATACTTGGTGGTTATTACCATTATTCTACATTATTATTTGCTTGTATCTATTCGATTTATGTGGATTTGCAAAAAAAGTGGGGGGTTAGATACTTTGAAATTAGCATTTCAATTATCAAACTTGAATGGGTTGGGTCAAGAACCTTTCAGCACTCCTTCATTCACACGGCGCCACACAAGTGCTCACTCATGAGGTTTTGTATAAGAAATAAGGGAAGTAATTCAGGATTTGGTATGCCAAGGTTTCGGATGCTGAAAAAAAATCTTTTTATGCAAGACTGTGAACTAAAGCTAATTCACATTACACAGAACAGTTTTTTTTCCAAGACTTACAAACGCAAGAAGTGTCAACTTCTATCATGCTCACATCTTTTCAAATTGAAGATAAATGTCCTATTAAAAATAAACTGAGTAAACTGCATAAAAAAATATAGATTTATAAATTTGTCAAAAAAAAAAAAAAAAAAGCCTGACAGGTTGCCTTTCTTTACACATTATAAAAGCAGCCAGATTTTTTTATTTATTTTAAGAGCATACTATGATGAAAGGTCCCAAACTTTGCGAAAATTAAGTTTTATCGTCAATATCTTCGTTATTAAGACCAAAGCATTTTAATTTTTTTTTTATCCTTTTTGAAACACTGTGGATGGACTATAAATCAGCATAACAAATTTTAGCTTTTTACAATGACTTTCATTGATTTGGAAGTCCTTGCAAAAAATTAAATATTTGCCGGATCTTAATGAAGCTTTCAGGACTTATTCACAAATTAATATATATATATATATATATATATATATATATATATATATATATATATATGTGTGTGTTTAACCCACTTCATTTTTATTAATATTCAATGAGAATTTTAGAGACTATTAGTTTAAAAAAAACTGAACTCTTTAGAGAATTTAATTTTGTTTTTGTAAAATCTTACCTGACTTATTGGAGATTTTCTCGGAAAAGGCTTTTAATTGCTTTCATGATTGTCTTCAGGAATTTTTTTTTTTTTTTAGTATAGTTTCTCAAAAAGAAAAAATCTCTTAAGCTTCAGTTTCATTGTAATTATGAGGGGATATTGTTATTAAGTAGATAGCTCCACTTCTTCTCTGGAAAACAGCATGACATGATAAAAAAAGGGCCCAAAACTTAATAAAAACGACCGGAAAATATAATCTTCAAGGATGCTTTTTCAATTTTTTTTAAAATTCATTTTGAACCTCAAGTACCAAAATTTTAAAGATAAAATCCTTCTTGGGGCTTTCTTTTTTAGTTTTAATTAAAAGCTAAATGATTAAATTTGCTATTTCCGGTAAGCAAAATAATCTGGTGTATTTCAAATACAAATTATTTTGATTGGAATCTCAACTTTTTGGTCACTGTCAAAAAATCATTTAAAGTCGTACCAAAAGTGGACGACTTTGTAAACAAATGTTAATTCTCGGTTTTTTTTTTTTGGGGGGGTCCAAAAGTAAAATATACTTTTCTGAAACTTTATTTGAGGAATATTAGCTGATTCAAAGTATAATTAGTCCGATTTGAAACAAATATTGTTTACTTTAATTTTAAAATAACAAATGATAACAGTGATTGTGCTTGTCACTGTCATTTCTCACTCATAGATCACTTAAGTGTTGATAAATGTGTTCTTCATTGTTCTACAGAAACTTTTTGTTTATTAAAACATAATTTAAGAAAGTAATGAGTGAGTTTTTTGGGGGTTTTTTTTATACATGTTATTCACACACTTAATTTCATGAAGTTTGAGAAATTTAAATTTCAATGTCTAAATTTTTGTTGGTTAAAAGCAGGATCCCTTGGGAAATTTAAATTTCTTGTTTTTCCTTTGTTATAAACCTTCACATTTTTTGTAAATATGGTAATCCATACATGACACTATTCTTGAAAGGTCAAACATTTTTAAAAGTTGTCCTACCCTACAGGAAACAATTATCAGCTTGCAATTCTTTCATTATTCATTTGTTTCATCATGTTTGTCTTTGCAAATCAGTCCTTCAAAATTTTAAAGTTAGTTTTGCTTTTCTTAATTGATTTTCACTAAATATTATAGGGTATTAGATTAAAATAAGTGTAAACAATTGCATAATAATAAAAATTTAATAAAGAAAATAACTTTAACATTTCATTACCAACATAATTAATAAAATGCCATAACATCTCAAATTGAGTTACCTCATCATGGTATTTCATTAATCTCTTATTAAATTTCTTAATTTAAAATTGTATTAGTTCTTCAGAAAGCCTCTTCAAACATAAGGCTTATAAAGCTAAAGTAACTAAAATTCAATAAAATATTAGATAATTGCTGAAAATGTTAATTAAAAAAAAAAAAAAAAATTTTCTCTCTAAGTGTTAACTTAGATCTTGTGAATTTATGTCAATTCTGGTCAACCATACTTAGCTTTCAATAACTCGATTAGCATGTCAGAAAAACTAGACTCCATGGTTAAGAAATGCTTGTGTACTATATTTTATATGCTATAAGTAATATTTTCTTCAAATAATTTGCCACAAATATATTTTATTTTTGGAAAAAAAATTTAAACTGGGAATTTTGTTTACAAATGTGTCAAATGCCCAAATTTTAAATGACTTTTTGAAAGTCGTCAAAAAGTTGATCCCATGCAATATAATTTTTGTTTGAAATACACCAGGGAATTTTTCTTACTGGAAATGCTAAATTTAATCATTTAGTTTTCCAATTTCTAAAAAAGCTTCAAAAAAGCTTTTTTATTTTATAAAAATTCATCTTCCAAGGTATCGAAACTGAATGGAGGTACCCACAGTATCCTTACTAATTCTTTTAAAAACAATTAAAAGCTCTTCTAATTAAATAATGTAATTTTTGTTTTACGATTTGGAGCATATTTTTGGTGAAGAATGAGTAGTATGAAAAAAGTTGATTTACATTCTCCAAGAAGTTCTGCTTTTAGCTAAAACAAAACAAAAAAAAAATCTAGGATAAATTTAATTTCTCAATTTTATGAAATTAAGTGGGGAGTGGGTAACATGTAAAAGAAAAAAAAAATGAAATCATCTCAAGTCCTGAAAATTTCATTTAATTTTAAAACCCAAAAGTATCTAAAATTCAATAAAACATTGTGGGAAATATTTTGGTATATATATATTCCTCAAATAAAATTTTTAATTTGGAAGATTTTGCAATAAAAGGAATTACAGTAAAATGGTGCTAAATTAAAGATTGAAAGGAGTTTTTCTCCTTCAGGAGAAAAACTCCTTCCAAACAATTTAAATTAATTTTGAAATACAGCAAAGTATTTTGCTTATTAGAAATATTAAATTTAATCTATTAGCTTGAAATTCAAACTAAGAAAAGATTTTTATTTTAATAGGTATCACAAATCTATGCATGAGCCTACTTTACAGTCATCAAGGGAAATCTGAGAGAACTATATTTAGGTTCTGTTGATTCTGGCATTGAACCTTGTTTATTCTATATTTTAAGCTTTACCTTTATTCTTAGGAAATGTGTTTTTATTGATGTGTATGTGTGTGCATGTGTAATATGCTCCAAAGTTTTATTAAAAAAAAGAACCAAATGATTTTTTTTTTTTTCCCCTTCTCTCTCTTTCTTATGAAAGTCATTTTTGTGGGGCTTAATGCTCATTTGGAGTCTTTGTGGAATTTTAAGCTTTTTTTTTTTCCCTCTCTCTCCCCTTGTAAAACTGTGTCTCTCTCTTCTTCAATGTCTAGAAATCTGCTCTGGATTCTCACTCACACTCACACACACACACACACACACACACACACACACACAAATAATTAGGAAAGCTTTCAACTGCTTTTAAGAGCAAGATAGACTTAATTCTTTAAATTTATTTTTAAAAGAATTTTTCTTTATTAATATTATTTAAATTGGAATAATTTATAAAGTTTTAAATATGAAAAATATGTCCCCTGTGGAAAAGAAAACCCAATCATAGCTCTCAGTATGATGTCAACACCTCATAAAAACACCCACCTCTGTGTTAAAAAAAAAAAAGATACTTTTCTGTGATATTTTAAACTAAAACTGTTTCAAATTGTATTAATTAAACTTCAGCTAATCTACCTGGAATAAAGTTTCAGATGAGTATCTTATTTTTTAAACTTTTCTTTTAGTAAACGGAATTACTTTGTGCGGCCATTTTAAGGATTTAAAACAAAACATCCAAATCAATTTAAATTTGCTTTGAAATACAAAGTATTTTTCTTGGAAATTAGCTTGAAATTAAAACTAAGATAAAAGCTTCAATATATTTTTCTTTTTAAACCTTAGGTATTATTTTTAATCGGAGGTATGTTTCTATTACTGTCGAACTAATAGATATTTAATAAATTTAATATTTTCAATAACCAAAAGTTTTTGCTATATTTAAAACCAAATTTAAATTGATTGGATGACTTTTTGAGAACTTTTATTTGAAGATTGTCCAATTTGAAATGTTTAAAACTTTTAATTTAAAAATATTGCAGAAAAGTTATATATTTGTATTAAAGAACAAGATAGTTTTGTATTACTTGAACCCCTGAAGATGATCTTGGAAAAAGATTGAAAGTACTTGGAGAAATGAAAATAAGAATAACAGCTATAGCACATTTCTCGCATCCTTTAACATTAATACTCAGTTATTCGTGAGTATGAACAGGTTTTGTTAAAAATTAGCAGACACAATGTCTGTAATTTATTCAACCAGACATGTCTTAAAAAAAAAAAAAAATTACTGCATATATATATATATATATATATATATATATATATATATATATATATATATGCGCATTTAGGGTGCTGACAACTATTTCAATACTTAATTTGGGGATTTTCTATACTGCATGACTAGAAATTATTTGAAATATAGCAAGTGTATATATATATATATATATATATATATATATATATATATATATAAACACCTTTATTAAAAAGTTTGTTGAATTGCAAAAGAGAAATTGATTTTAAATTCTCTAAAGATTTCTACTTATAACTAATATAAACAATGTGCTATAAAAATGAGTATATAAAAAAAAAAAAAAAATTTTGTGTGAATAACTCCTGAAAATTTCATTAATATCTGGCAATTAACAAATTCTTTTGTCTTTTCTTTTAATAATAACGGAGGTTTCAAAACCATCGTTATTATTAAGAGACATGTACTGGAAAGACAAATTTTTTACCATCAATGGTAAAAAAAATTGTATTTGCAGTATTTTAGTGAATCTCTACTCAAGAAAATAAGGCTTTACACTTTGCATTGGTCAGTTAGGCCTTTTTGTAAGGATTTTTAAGGTTATGCATATTGATCAGGGTTCTTACATGCTTATATTGTCTGGATATCACCAATTCTAAAGAAAGGAAACTTATCACAAATTTAATGAGTAAACACCATCCCTTTCTTTCTCGGATAGTCAAATTAAAGGCAGGAATATTTTGAAATGTTCTTGGACTCTTAGCTGAATTCAGTATTTTCCCTCAAACTTCTCCAAAGTATTTGGATATGATCTGGTTAGGTCTTAAATAGAAAGTTGAGATATTTTTACCTTAAGTGTCAATGATTGTTTTTTTTTTTTTTTTTTTTTTTTTTTTCCTTTTCCAGTAATTTTTGTCTACCATTGACTATTCTAGAAATAGATTTAAATTAACATAGAATTAATGTACCAAAACTTGAAAATTAGCTTTTGCTAAAGCTTTCCTTCATGCTAAATTCTCATTGCTTAGGTTGGATTTAAGTTTTGATCGTGTGTGTGTGTATATATATATATATATATATATATAACCAAGTTAATGTGATAATTCTGTTGTTTGTAAAAGCAGCTTTTTTTTTTTTTTTTTTTTTTTAAATCTAAAGGACCCTGTAAAAAAAAAAAAAAAATTTGCAAAATAAGTTAATTGATTGGTATATGCATGCTATAACAGCAAAATTAATTTGTTTCTGTGTTAGCCTAGACTTTCAATTTCTTATTTTTCCTGGATGCTTTAAATAAATTATTTTCTTTTCAACTTATTTGCACCTAATGCTTTTTTACATACTTCTTTAGAAGTAATATTAACCCAGTTCCTTTTTCTCAGCTCATTTTATGTCAATACCTCATCTCAAAGTACTTTGTATGGAAACTGTTAAAAAGTTCCCATGTTTCATTTATTTTGATTTGCAGAGATGGTGGAAAATATGAAAGAAGTTGCTGACCAAGGCTCAGAGTTGACTGTTGAAGAAAGAAACCTTTTATCAGTTGCTTACAAAAATGTGATAGGAGCACGACGAGCTTCATGGAGAATCCTTAGCAGTGTAGAGCAGAAAGAAGAGCCCAAAGGTTGTGAGCAGCGACTAAATCTGATTAGATGTTACAGATCAAAGGTTAGTTTATGGCTCTTCTATTAACATGATATATTCTTTTATTCTTTAGCTTTATTATTTCAATTAGATTCCGTGACTAGTTTCAGCCAGCATGGCCATTGTCAGGAGGTTTTAGTATGCTAGTGTAGTTCAGATTGTTGGTCATTCTAGATATCACACTCTCTGCCAGAAACTATGACTACAGTCTGCTCAGCATAGTTGCAGTATAAACCACAGGTTGGCTCTGTAGGTGTTGAAGAAACACAAATGCACCTGGGCAAGCCTGCAGTAGGGATTGGCTAACTGCCCTAGTAGTTGGGTATCCTTGAATACAAGTGGCCAGATGTGCATGTGATTTAAATTTTCCATAAATAATTCTGAAAATAAGGACAATTTTTTTTTCTTTTTTTTTTTTTTTTTAAACTTACCAATATACATTAAGTGGCTTACACAGGGGCGTCTTTTTCGAATTTTGGGTTTGGTGTAATTATGGTTGCAAAACATTCCTTTCATTGATAAATAAAAGCATGTCAGCAAGAACTATGAATTTTTCCGATTGTTATATATATAAAATATATATATATATATATATATATATATAATGTCATCCACAGACACTTGTTTCGCTGTTTCACAGCTCATCAGTGTGGCTAGACATCCGGTTGCCTCTAACTAGGATTTACACCTGACTGAATTGGTGTCAGTTGGAGATTCTAACCATTAAGTCATTGGCTAATATATATATATAGGATTGATGTGAGTTTGTGGCCCTGGGTTATGTTAGCTGTATCACTGATTTTGAGTGCTTTCCAATAAGTATTGTGCATGTATAATATATTGCACATATATATTGCGTGTGTTAATTCAAATGAGACATCACACAGATGAGCCATAATCTTAATTTTTCCTTGCCTATGTATCTCCCAGGGCAGTTAAGTTGTTTTTTTTTTTTTTTTTTTTTTTTTTTTTCAGGAATTTACCTTCTAGTATACTTGTATAATTGTATGTTCAGTTTTTCATTAGATGGTCTTTTGAATGCAACTCACCAAAATAATTATAATAACTTAGTGATGTTTTGATATGTACGTTTATTTTTGTTTTTATTATGCTTAGGTTGAGTCTGAGCTACAAGATATTTGCAACGATGTGCTGGCTGTATTGGAGAAGAAACTTTTGGTGAATGCCACTTCAGGAGAATCTAAAGTGTTTTATTTTAAAATGTGAGTTTTTCTGATGTGTCTAAATCTATAATCTTGGCAAAATTGGCCTCAAAGATGTGGCAGTGGATCATTTGTAATCTTTAATTTGTCTCCTTCCTGCTCAAGCTTTAAAAGTTTTGTTCATCTATGCATTTTTTTTTTTTTTTTTCCTCCCTCTTCCAGGAAGGGCGATTATCACCGCTACCTGGCTGAATTTGCCACTGGCACTGAGAGAAAGCAAGCTGCTGACAACAGTTTAGGAGCTTACAAGGCAGCCAGTGACATTGCCATGAATGAGCTGCCACCAACTCATCCCATCCGATTAGGGCTGGCTCTCAACTTTTCTGTTTTCTATTACGAGATCCTTAGCAACCCTGAACGAGCATGTCGGCTGGCCAAGGCTGCATTTGACGAGGCCATTGCTGAGCTGGACACCTTGAGTGAAGAGAGCTACAAAGATTCCACCCTTATAATGCAGCTTCTGAGAGACAACCTTACTCTATGGACATCAGATATGCAAGCTGAAGGTTAGACTGGCTTCTTTTTTTTTTTTTTCCTCTCTCTCTCTCTCTCAAGGACAAACTATAAAAATGTGTGATGCTATTTAAAATTTTCTGTATTTGTTAAAATTTAAGAAATTTTGATAGTTTTGTTGTCATTTTCTTTTTTTACTGCACAATTAAACTGCAGTGGAAACTTCATTGTTTTTCACTTAAAATGTAGTTTATTTTTGTTAGGTTTTCACATATCCTGTGTTATTTGTAGTCTCTCTCTATATATATATATATATATATATATATATATATATATATATATATATATATATATATATATATATATAATGTGTGTGTGTGGTAAAAATGATCTGGTACATTTGTAGGTTTAATAAAAGTGAAATAAAGGATAAAAACAATGTTTTTCAAAGTCTTCTCATAATGCCATTTTGCTCCATTTCATTTTAATGGTTGCTGTTTAACTTGAAGCTCTTACTGCTGGCACATTTTCCAGAGTTCTGGTGCTCATCCCATTGATTTTTGTGTCAATGCTGATCCAGTAGATCTAAATTTGTTAACCCATAACAAAATTGTTTCAAGTAGGTGTTAAATCATGTCTACCAAGCCTGAGGGGCATACAGAATGCTCTTCGTGTTGCTGTTACCAATTGTTCTTGATGAATGTTTCCATAATGAAAGTGATGCTTGCCCATCCAATTCATGTTGACAACTGAAAATGAAATGAAACAAAATGGCATATGTACATTTCGAAAATAAGTTTTCAATCTTTACTTTTATTAAACCCAGAAATGTCGGATTATTTCGATACACTGTGTATATGCGTGCATGCATGCACATGTGCAATGGGGGTGGAGGTGTCAGTTTTTGTTTTTTGTTTTTTACTGCACAATATAGGACAGTGCAGAGGGTTTGTAAAGAGTAGGGTGATTGATCACTAGTGATGGCAATGTTATACCTCCATTAATCTTCACACATGGTCTCAGACTCAATATGGATGCCTACATCAAGTGCCTTGAGTAGGTAGTGCTGCTATGGGTTAAGAGGGTGGCTGCTGAAAGGCCCTATGTCTGACAACAGGTCTCTGCACCATGCTACACAAGTAGGATGATCCGGTCATGACTGTCAGATAATTTCACCCCTTACATCTGGCCACCTAACTTCACAGACTGCAACCCTCTTGATTATTATGCATGGGGCACAGTTGAGTGAGAGACCAACAAAACTTGTAACACCAAAGATGATGTGAAGGCAAGGATTGACAGCATCCACCAACTTAAACAACAAGACTGTCTGGAAGAGTTGCAAGGGATTCCAAAGATGTTTGGAGGTCATTGTTGAAGCCAATGATTTTATTGAATAACTTACCAAAATTACCCGTTAAAATGAGATGCCAGTGTTTTCATTTTTGCATAATTTAGACGACGATTTATCCATCCCATCGTGTGTGTGTATGTAATATATATGGTAATGAATGTTAGCTTCATTGTATCAACTGCTTTTAGATTTTCTGACTGGTAAAAAGTTAGATCCTAAAAACTGTCTTTTTATTTTCAGAATGTGAACAAAAAACTGAGCAGCTGCAGGATGTGGAAACCGAGGAGGTGTCATAAACGGTGGCCCATTTAGTTTGAATCTTTGCACATTACAACAACACTCATATGAGAACAACAATTAATAATAATAATATAATAATACCAACAACAACTTTGGTCTCCTTGTCACTCTCTCTGGCCATGACTATAATCATTTTTCTCTTGTACATTGTTCTGTATTAATATGTTATTATTTGTATAAAAGTGACCAACCAAACCGTGTCCATTATTCCATAGTGCTGCGAAAGGCCAGTCATGACCATTATCGAGTGGAAGAGACACTTAGAAAATTTAAAAACATTTGGAGAAAAAAAAAAAAAAAAAAAAGGTAATTAAGGAAAAAGTTATAAGAAGACTTCACTCCTTCCCTTAATTTTTCATTTTCTGATTCTTTTCTGTCCTTTAAACTCATTTCTCCTTTTAGTCCACCACCAACCCTACCCCTACCACCACCACAACCACTGTGAGTAGTGGTGTGTGTGTGGACCACATGCTTTTTCTTTTTTCCTCTCTCTCTCTCTATCTCCTTGCTTTCTCTTTTGCTCTCATTTATGGAATTTTTGTTTCTTTGCCTTCTCTTCCTCTTCTGCGCCCTGGCTAAATGTGGACCAATTTAGCCCTGTGTCTTTCAGCCAGTTACAACTTGGACCAGTCAAGTTTTTTCTTTCTTTCTTTCTTTCTTTCTTTCCTCCCTCCTCTCTAACTCTCCAATAAGGGAAACATTGAACAGAAAAATATATTTAATGCAAAAACGTAATATTGAATGATTGATAAGGATTCTGGTTTGGGGGGTGGTGAAAAGACAAGGTTGGTGTGAAGGAGGGGGGAAATAAACCTTGTGGTTGCACTAACTTGTCTTACCTGCTTTGCTTCTGACATTTTTTTTTTTTTTTTTCTTTTTTTTTCTGGAAACAAATGTACTAAATATTTAGTTTGGCTGTGTGTGCATGTACAAGCCACCTTGAAGGTAGCAAATCCCTTCATGTTTAGTTAAATTTTGAAGACTTGTTTATGACTTTTCTCCTTCTCTCTCTCTTTTTACTTCCTGTCTTAATAATTATAAATGGTAATTTTATACTGCAACTTTTTCTTCCTCCTTATAGAAGGTGGCATGCGAACTATGAGAATTTCTCATTCAAGGTGGATAGAAGTAAAATGTTTTGCTAGCAGTTGCTTTTCTAGTCTGCTTTATCTGGGGGGGCAACTCTCGATATATCACCCTAACTAAATGCATTAATTTTATTTTGCCCCAGCCCTGTTTTAAATTTGGCTATTCTATTGGTGGTGGGCTATTGACTGGGTGCCCCCCTCCCTCTCTCTCACACACACACACTATATATATATATATATATATATATATATATATATATATAAACACACAGCACACACTTCTCTCTCTCTCTCTCTCTCTCTCTACAGCTCTTTCTTCCTGGACCTTCTTTGTGCTGTTGTCCTCTGCTGCTGCCGCCCAACCTCCTCCTCTTTTCCTAAAAAGTTGGTCACTCTTTTCCTACCCTTCCCTTCCTGCTTCCTTTCTTTAAGAAAAAAAAAAATTGAAAAAGAAAATAATTTCAAGTTATTTAAAAAAAAGTTTTATGTAATTTTAAACCAAAATTTCAATTTTTAAAAGATTTTTAAAAAATAAAAAAATTAAATTAAAAAAAAAAAACTGGAGATGCTAAAGTATTTCATGGGGTTTAGATTAAAACTGTTTCCCTTTTTATGCTAATTTGAAAATTGTTTGGTTTGTAATTCTAAATAAAGCTTAGGAAAATTGTCTTGTAAGCTGGTTTCTTTTGCTCTTCCTTCCCAAATTTTATAGAGGGGCTGTTGCTGGTTGGAGACAGTCTTCTTACCAGCATTTAGGATTTCACACCCTTAAACTTGCAGGGTGGGACACAGGCTAATGACATGTTGGGTGGGGGGGTCCTTATGCAATTTTCTTTGCTTCTTTATTTCACTCTATCCTTGTGTGTAACTCACACGTCAAATTTTTTTTATCAAATTTTGTTTTCTTGAAACAGTGTGGAGAAGAAAAAAAAAATGCTGGTTTGGTTGCAAATAAATATATTTAAAAAAAAAAATACTAATTTCAGGATAACTTCTTTTTCCACTGAAGGACTTTCAATTTTGTGTTTGGATGGTTGGTATTTGGTTTTCTAATTCAGTTGTTGCTTCCCTTAACATTAACTTGTGTGTGTGTGGACACTGCATGGCAACAGTTTTGTGCTTGAACACAATATTCAGGCCATGTGTTTTTGTTGTGGGGGGGTAGAAAAATGCCTTTAAGAAAATTACTTCTGTCACGGTTTTGTTGGTTGGTGTTTTTGTCTGTTGGCAGGCTGCAGCAGTACATTTGGTATCATCTCGGCAAAGACTTGGACTTTTCCACCTGCAGCTTCAAAGTGGGAATCACAATTTTGTTTCTCGCACTTCTTTTCCTTCTCTCATTCTCACTCTGCACACCAATAAATTATCTGTTAACAACTTCCACTCTATTGAGCAACATCTGTCAACTTGAAACAGTCACAGACTCCAAGAAGGATTTTTATTTTTCAGTCCAGTTCTTTTGGGAACTGGAGATGGACTCTCTTAAAGCTCCTCTTAGATTGATATTCCCCCCCAACCACCACCTTTATCTGCCTGCCAAGCCTAATTTGTCAAATGGGTCACCTTAATAGAATATTCTCTAGCCAGGCCTTCTTCGTAGCATTTGTACTACCTATTAGAATTTTGATAATGAAACTTAAAGCAACTATTTTAACCTCCTTGCATATGCCTTTTTCATATGTATATATAATTAAACTTGCGTTCAGTATTTAGATATTTATTCATTACTCTCTTACCCCAATTTTAATTTAGTATACTTTTGTTACAAAAGTCATATACTGAACTATATCTATAAATTTGAACAAGACAGCTGAATTAAAATTTCATAGAACTTTTTATATCTCACTAATTAAAACAACCACTTTGGCAAAAGTTTGCTGTGTGTGTCTCTTTTCACAGTTGCAGTATTGGTGGGTTCTTATTGCATGCACACACACACACACACACACAAAACCTCCCCATCTTGTTCTGGCCAATTCGAAGCCCTTCCTCCTCGGGTAATTTTAATTGAAATTCTGTGACTTTGTGCAAGAAAAAAAATAAACAAAGCAAAACATTTTATCAGCTTCACAACCAACATCACCTGCTTAGTCTGTTGGCTTTGTTCTTACAGTGCTCATGTTTGTTTTTTCTTGAATTTGCATTGCATTAAAAGCAATAATTGCCCTCCCCCCTCCCCCACATTGTGGGAGTTGCTAAAACTTTTGGTGGCTTGTTTCCCTTCTCTCTCTCTCTCTCTCTCTCTTCCCCCTCCCTCCTAAAGACTTTGACTTTCCAAACTGAATTGTTAGTGTATAGCATTTGCAAAATGTTGAAATATCTCTAAATATATTTTTGGTTCATTTTGTATATTTTCTATTTCTCTCCCTTTAAATATTTCACCTGGATACTACTGCCTGCATCTTTTTAACAAGAAAATCTCCGCTGCCGGGATTTGTGATTTTCATACCCGACTTTTCTGTATAACTGTGTATTGTCCTCGGAAATAAACTTGATTTAACTCCAGAAAGACAGTGCACTCGGTCTTCCTAACTTGCTTGCTCGACCGCAGTCATGATCTCTTTGGATATCACTTTTTAGATGAATCATTGACACTTTTTAGTTTTTTTGTTTGACATATATACCAGGGGATATGATAGGCCTTAAGAAATTTTGCTTAGCAATAAAATGGATAAGTGGTGTGTGCATTTTTTTTTTTTTTTTTAATCTTAGCTGATAATAAGCATCTGAAAGCAGGGGCTACTTCCTCCTCGCTTTTTAGGCTGCAAATTTTAACTTTTATTTCCATCCTTCATATAAAAGATACTAAAATGCTTAGCTCTACGGGTAGAGCTTTTCTAAACAATTGGGTAAACCTCATATAGTTAAATAATTATGAAAAGTTTAAAGCTTTAATCAGATTAATGCAGTTTAGTACTAGGGGAAGGTGCAGACAACCTAGTTAATTTCCATCATTACAATAGTTGTAGATAATCACATGGAATATTTTAATTAAGGATAACTGTCTAAAATGTTTAGTTTTATTTTGGTAAAAACTTGGCATTTGGCAAAAATTCAAATATAGTATACAAGACTGGGTAGGGGTACTTTGAGGTTTTCACCTTGTCCCATTTACTAAAATCTGACAAAACAAATTTTTCTTTTAATCTCTTCTTGCTTAAAACCACTTGGATATTTTAAAAGAAATTAACTTTGTGAATACCATTTGGTTAACTCGGCTTATAATTTTGAAATTTAGCAAAACCTTTGGAAGGAAAATGAACTCGGAAAACTGAAAGGGAGATAAATACTGGATTTTTATGATTACATCTGGAGAGCTTGACTTTCTTATATATCCATATTCAAATATGACTAAATGTTAATTTTTTTTTTTTTTAAACATACCAAGAAATGGAAAATAAAACCTATCATTTAGGGGAAGCACCCTGCCTTTTCCTGTTGATCAATTTCTTATTGAAATGATTTCACTTTAGTTGATATTCTGTCTGCTCCTCCTCCCCTCCTCAAAGCAATTATTCTCATTTACCTGCAGACTTTCAAATGCTAATTGTGCTCCTTATATCTTTGGGGTTTCTAGATTTTTATTTTATTAATAAATGAATGTTTCGAGAAACATGACAAACAAGGCTTGATTGTGTAGGTTTCCGTTAGTCAAAAAGTGAAGTTAAAAAAAAAAAAATTTTTTTTTTTTTTATACCTGGTTGGTGATTGCCTTTGTAGATGGTGAATATTTGACAAACAAGTCATGAAATCTTTAATTAATATCTTCATCTTCGGTGTCCTTTTCATCCTGCCTGTCAACACTTGAGAAGAGTGGGCTCCTGCAGCTAATTTCTACCCAGGAATTTATAAAAGAACTGGGAGGCAATAATTGACCTCTAATGTGTCATTTCTTAACGAGTCTTTGTCATAATAGCTTTATGTTTGACACTCAGTGAGGATTGAGCTCCCTACAATCCAAGACTAACGAGCTAACTATTTGTTCCATAGTAAGGTGTTAAACTAGGGAGTCCAAAGTTTTTTTTTATGTGAAGTCCCCTAATAAATTTCAGTAGAAATCTTTTCCATTTCAAAATTAATTCAGCATGTAACCTGGATAAACAATAATTTGATATACATGATTGAAAGCTTTTGTTTTTTTGTTCAAGTTTATAGCATTTGCTGTTGTGAGTTAGGGTTCACAGTGCAATGGTCTAGGACATTACAATTGAATAATGTGTTTGATCCTTCGAAAGTGCCATGGCTAACATTAGTATCTTGATAGTTACTAAGAAAAACAAAACTGAAAAGATGGTAGATATGTACAAAGCCTTGAGCACTTTTTGGTTTATAGTAAAGAGTAAGTGCATGGTATCTGTTAGCAGGATTTAATGGTGGGTGTAGAAAGATGGATCTTTAAGATGCGAGAAATACTGTCAAAAATGAATGATGGTGTATGTCTATTCATTAAGGAAACTGGTTTATTTTAAGTTTAAAATAACAGCATAAAATGGTGTCATCAAGTAAGACAGAACTTGAACACTGCATGCCAACTCCACTTTCCACTAGTCTACTTTCACATTCACATTAATGCCAAACAATTTTTTTTAACACCAAGATTGGCATGATAGTATTTCACTCACTAAACGGCACTTGAAATTCTATTGTTGAAATTTTGTCAGGTTGTCAATTAGGTCTTCGTATTATTAAATATGTAATGCTAAAATTAGCTTAAAAATACATTTAAATGTCTCCTTTCCAGTAATTGTTTTTGATATATGAAACATTAATTTTAGATATTTCAGTAAGTTTTAAGGAACTTTTTAAAACCTCACAGTTAATTTATTGATGTGTCATTTTAATTGAGACAATTCCGAAATCTTATTTCTTTTGAAGAAAATTAGTAAAATGAAGGATTAACAGAAATTTGGCAAAATATTACTTTATACTTAAAACACGTTTAAAAATAATGCTTAACCATAAGTAATAACTTAATATATTTTTATTCTCTAGGCCTTTATGAAAATTTAGTCTTATTAATAATCAAAGGAAGTAATTCAGAATTCTTTCCTATTAGATCTTCCATCCAAAAAATGATGTAACAGTTTCAAAAAGAAAATATTTCTGATATAATATCTTCAGAGATTTTTTTTTTTTATATATAAAAACTTAAAGAAAAAATGGTGCTCACTTCCTACAAATTTGAAGTTTTTTTTTATTAGAAACTTTTCCTTCAGGTACACTTACAAAATATGCCCAAAATATTTCTTTTATATGTAAATTAAAAGGCTTTTTAATTTGTATATTTTAAATTATAAGAAATGCAATTTTAACTTGTGCAACATTACCTTTTAATTAAGTACCTGAAAAGATTCAGGTAAAAAAAAAAATGAGGAATCTTAACAATTTGCGTTTTCTTATGTCAACAGGTGATTTTTTTTTTTTTTTTTTT